CCTTGACCAAGCCCATGGTACATAATTTGCATATTCTCATGAGTATTGAATTTTCCACCCGAAGGTTGAGTGCATGATGATGATGATCTCAACTGGCATAGAATAGACCTCTTATCTTATCTTATCATCATTAATCAGAGATATTATTGATGCTAGTAACACTGGTAAACGATTCGTATCTACTTTTAAAATTTTCAACCAAAAATTAATGATATGCCATCACCTTAAATATATTAAAGGTAGGCTGCCCAACTCTCCATAAATAGTAGGGTTTGGTGTATTGAAAAACAAATTCAAAACATATTTGCAAAATTTTTGATGTGCCTTTTCAACATTCTCCTCACCATCAAACCCCCAAACTTTAATCCCATACATTAATATTGGTAATATCTTACAATCAAAGATTTTCATATAAACTCGTTTATCAATGGAACTATATTCAGATAAAACACATGTTAAAGCTAACATTGCCTCAAGGTACCAGCTCTCCTGAAGACCAGGATTTGGGTTTTGTTTGTATTTATCTAATGATAAGATTATCTTGAGATGATGATGGTTATAATGATTAGGTAATATTGAGAGAACTACAAACACACTGACCTTTGTTTCATGTCGGTCGATATGATCATTACTTAGTATACTGTCCTCATACATATATTGGGGTGTTCTCATAAAAACCTCATAATAACGGAATAATATGTAATTATATATTTCAGCTCCCTTGATCAGCAGCTTGAAAAATAAATTTGGCACCAGACCATTGGTTATTATTGGTGGTGTGTTATCCAGTGGTGGTATATTATTGAGTTCATTTGCCAACAGTGTTAATGTGTTACTATTTAGTTACAGTGTTATTGTAGGTGAGTGAGGACAAGTCAGCCAACTCGGTGGCAGAGTTATTGTCATTCACTATATTCTGCGAAATTCACAAGTCACGAAATTTCGAGAAATCTGAGAAAGGTCAACCATAGGCAGTATTTTTGTCATTTTTGGTGAAAATTGACTCCTTTAAAACAGCATTTTATTTTGTGAAGGTATCTTCAATTTCTTATAGTTTGATGAATATATTTGTTAAAACTCCCCTCACAAAAGCCTTATTTTTGTATGTGTAATAGTGTATGTATCTCAGATGGACCTATCTCAAATTTGTTTATTTTGTGGTGATACATGTTTCATATATTCTCTATTTTGTTAGGAGAATTTAAAACAATTCAGTTGCAGTAATTAAACGCATGTAACAGTAGAGCCTTCTCAATCGACCTGTCGCTTGTTGACTAATTATTGACATAAGCAGTCCCAATGAATTAAATTTCATACCTAGGTGGTCCTGATGTAAATGACTGGTTACAGTAATGACATAAACTCTCAGTACGCATCTTGCACATGTGTGGCATGATAACCACTGTCTTTTTAGGAGAGGATGAATTTAAATTTAAATGTGCAATGCAATAGATTATTTAGTTAATACATGTATTTTGCTTTTTTTCATCAAATTATTGTCAATGATGCAATATTTTTTTTTTTTTTTTTTTAAATTTTTTTTTGTGCCAGGTGACAGTTCCGGACATTGAGTGTCTCTCTTGACTTTTTTTTTCTGTATGTGCAAATTGCAAGTGCATAGTGCATTTTGGCATCTCTTTGTCAAATGGCAATTTGTAATGCGCTATCCTGGCATCAACCAGGCCCGGTCGAACACAAGCAACCGCGGACCTTAACCAAGTTTCCCGAAAGTCGCATTCGTTAGTGAATGAATCTTGGCCAGTGGAATTGGCCTACCCATTGAGTCTGTGGCACACTCACCCAGGGTATGGGTAGACCCTTTGATGTTCAGCCTAAGGTAGGATTTGAACTTGGGTCTACCGATCATGAGTCTTATGCAACAACCACTATGCTACCAGTGACCAGTTGATGCAATATTTAGATTTTTAAGGGAACATGTTGTGCAGCTAATATATGAACGCCAATATATTTCATTTTGTAGGCATTGGATATGGATTGATTTACGGGCCAAGTATTCTTCTGGTAGGACAGTATTTCCATAAACGTCATGCCCTAGCTAATGGAATTGCACAATCAGGTGTTGCCGTCGGTGTAATGACATTCCCACCTCTGTATCAGATATTAATTGATAAGTATGGATGGAGAGGGACAATGCTTGTAATGGCGGGAATTAATATGAATATGGTTGTATGTGGAATTTTAATGAGGCCACCACCAAAATATGATCCGGAACCAATAGATGAGACATCAGAGAATATTATGCAGCAATATAGTACAGTGGATTCTGGAGAAGGAAGTTACAGGACCATGGAAACATTTGGAAGAGATGCATTGGAGGAAACGAACAACGTCTGTCAAACTACTAACAAGTGTTGTGAAACTATACAGGAAAATACAAGGAGATCCACAAAATTTAGAACAAAACTTAGCAAAATTCTGGGATTGCATTTGTTTCAAAATTCATGGTTCCACATTCTATGTATTTCTGCCTTTCTGTCTTCCATTGGTCATAATACAGCCATGATTCATTTTGTAGCAAAAGCGGTATCTGATGGAACAGCCAAAGTGGATTCTGCAATTCTAATGACAATCATGGGAGTG